AGGAAAAGAAGAATAGTCAATTATTATATGGTTTATTCAAATCTATTTAGGTATCCTATCATCAATCCATACCCTAAATCATAAATATTTCAAATCAAAAGAAAAATGGCCGATCACCGTACTTCGAGTACTATCGAGAAATCAAACATTTTCTTCGAGGGAAAAAAAAAGAAAAAAAAAAAAAAAAAAGAAAAAAAAAAAAAGAAAAAAAAGAAAAAATTCATTTCTATTTGCGCGCATACATATCTACATACATACATACATATATGCATGAATACATACATACATACATATATACATACATACATACATACATACATACATACATACATACTTACATACCTCTAGAAGAGATGTCGGCTATAATGCATCGAATTTACGCTTACGTTCAAGTACGAAATGGCGAATATGATATATCGAGTACGCAAGGCGATCTTAAGGAGCGCTTAGGCGAAACGAGGAGTATGGAGTATGTTCGGCATCGTTCGCCTCGGCGCAGGAAGAATATTTCATGTTTTACGGCGCCGGCGTCGTTGGGGCTTCGCCTACCAGGGGGACAAAAAAGTGTCAGGCCGTCGGCTAAATCAGAGCGTGAGTGCATTAAACTCCGAATTACCACAAATAGAACCTTAACCGCACATGCCCATTATAATGGGTGCCCCCCCGCTGAAGATGTATTTACGTACTAAAACCGCCTTCGCGGCTCATGCTGAGTCGTCAGAATTAACATCTGGCCCAAAATCTTATATACTCTTTACCCCTCTCCTCTCTCTCTCTCTCTCTCTATCTATCTATCTATCTCTCTCTTTTTCTCTCTCACACTTCATTCTTCGGTTCATCGGACCCTTCGTTTTTCCTTTTTCTCTTTTTTTTCTTTCTCTTTCTTTCTTTCTTTCGTTCTCTTTTTTCTTTTTTTTTATTTTTTTTTTCTTTTTCCTCTTTTTTTCTTCTTTTATTTCTTCATTATTATTCGCAACGGGATTGAACGACGGCGAGTTTTCATAACGATTTCAACGTGACATTAAAAATGCTCGAGTTTTTGAGAAAAATATGACATTTATCATAGAACGACTTTTGCCGAATAAACTTAATCGAATTGCAATGATTAAAGTGTCACTTGTATGCAGTATGGATTAATAAGGGTAAAAAAAAAAAAAAAAAAAAAAAAAAAGAAGAGAAGAAGAAAAAAATAATAATAATACCCTTCAAAGATAAATCTTTCTGATACGATTTCTAAACGATAATCATCGATGAATGATGAATAAACGTATACGACTCTTCTCTCTCTCTCTCTCTCTCTCTCTCTCTCTCTCTCATTTTTTTTCTTCCTTCATAGGGGATAGAGATAGAAACAGAAGAACGAAAAGAATGGGTAGTGCTCCTCGATGGCGCGACGAGGCACGAAAATCTTGCGAGTGCTTTTACACGCAAATTAGGTCTATTAGAGGCATCGTGCGTACAAAAACATTCGTGACGAAGCATCACTCTCCTCGTCCGTCCACCCTCGACTCAAGCGGAAAGTCTCTCCCTTCCGTGCGCGCGCGTTACGCACGTGCGTGCTTCTTTATGAATTATTAGAATTAATGATACCGCACGCATCGCCTCGCCCTCTATGGGGCCAAGCGTTTCGTCCAATTGTCGTCCGACTCGAACGCCGATGAGAAAAATAATTCCAAAGCGGAAAAAGGGGTTCTTTTACGCCGTTTCTTCTACTTCTTTTTATTATTATTATTATTATTATTATTATTATTATTATTATTATTATTATTATTATATTTCAATTAAAAAAAAAAAAAAGGAAGAAGAAGAAAAGAAGCAGCTATGAAAACGAGATAAACTTACCCCAAAGAATAGAAAAGAAAAAAAAAAAGAAAAAAAGAAAGAAAACGAAAAATTCTTCTGAATAATGATAGGATAATTATTGAGAAAAAAAATACTGCTTAATATATCAATGGCAACGACTTAAAAACTCATCAATGAGGACAATGAAAATTCAATGAAAAGAATGTGAAGTGAATTACGGTAACTGAGAAACGATCTGAAAAGTGGGTAAATCGTCGAACGGTATGTTATCGTGCGGCGTATCGTCGGTCGTAGGGAGAGAAGAGGGGGCAGGGAGAGGGCGGGGGTAGGTTGAATCGGATTAAAAGCGACTCGGGGCTGGAAGCGGGAGAATCTCAACGGGCTTGAACGGAGAACTGGGAAGAGCAACGAAAAAGGGAGGAGAAAGGGATCGAGAAAGTTGGTCGGATTTAAGAGCAACGAGGTGATACGACGTCTCCGGTATTTCATTGTCTTCTTATTCCTTTATATCCGATACAAGCGAAGAAAAACATTGTCTTGTAAATCGAAGACAGAGATATAATCAAAAAAAAAAAAAAAAAAAGAAAAAATGATTGATAGTCGCTCGAAATTAAATGACGTTTGTTAAACATTTAAAAGGACAAATGAAGATCCTACATGATGTTTCCCGTAAAAACAAGTATATCAAAAATGGACTACTTACATTAACCGGAAATGGATTCATTAAGTCTCGAGTTTCTAACGAAGAGAATAGTGTAGGGAAAGGGATAGGGTAGAAAGTTCGTTGATTTCTTACACACTAATTCCGGAGCTTCAACCCCAACGATATCGCAGTCGACCTCTTCCTTCGGAATTTTCCGCCTCTGCCTCTACACCATCCACCCCCCCTCCCCACTACCACCACCACCACCACCACCACCACTAAACCGTATAACCTGGAGCTTCATTTCTCCTCACTGTTCCTCCCTAACTCTCTCTCTCTCTCTCTCTCTTTCTGTTTACTCCGATGGATAGAATTTCGTTCTCTCTTTTCTTCACCCATCCTCTTTCAGCATCCTCCCTCTCTCTCTCTCTCTCTCTCTCTCTCTCTCTTTCCCTCGAGTCTCCCTTTTCACCGACACTCCATGGTCCCGAGGCGGCAAGCAAAGAACTCTCCTACCCTCCGGCTGCTGCTCGCACTGATTTTCCACCCTCACCAATACCACCTTCCATCCACCAAGCCCAACAACCCCCTTTCCCAACTCTCTCTCTCTCTCTCTCTCTCTCTCTATCTCTCTCTGTCTGTCTATCTATCTATCTCTCTCTCTCTCTCTCTCTCTCTCTCTCTCTCTCTCTTTCTCTCTCTCTTTCAACCACCCCACACCGTCACTCCTAGTCACGCCGCCAACACGTGCTCCTGTTTACCTCTCCAGTCACATGGTCTAGCGACGTAAGCACACCAACGAAATGCCGTTTTCACGTTTGTTTCCGTCTACCTCGGGCGTATAAAACGAAAAAGAAAAAGAAAAAAAAAAAAAGAAAACTTTGTAAAGTAAACTCTTCTACGCTAACTTCGACAATATTTCTTTTTTCTCTTTTCTTTTTCCACGAATGACTTGGTAATTTCAATAAAACTTCTTACCTTTTTACTTTGAATGTTACGTTAACGTTACATCGAGAGTTTCCATTATTAATAACCCTTGTCAATCCAAAAATATTATACCGTAAATTGATAATCAAGAACAAAGAAATTCTGCAAATGTGAATGCCCCCAAGAAAGGAAACGATTAACGATCTAATTTTATATGGCATAACTGTTTATTAGTAAAAACGTATATAAATTGTTGCATAAACCGTAAAAAGTAGTACGATTGATTAAATTACTTATTAGTTCGAACGTAACTAAAAAGGTTATGTAAAAAAGAGAAAAAGGAAAAAAAAAAAGAAGTACATGATCGGTTACTATGTTTAATTATATATACCCGTACTTTCTAACAATCTAATGTATTGACATGAGATTACTCTGTCTAACTTTCCATATCGCCACACCTATTGCTCCAATCTTTCCTATTATTGATACTAAAACTCCTATCTCTGATAATTAGAATGATCAATGTTTTCTCGGTTAAAAGAAGAAAAAGATTTATTTCAGTGACGACATGAAACGCGTATAACGTACATACCCATACATATACAAACACGAATCTACTCTTGCTGAGGCAAGGTTTGCGTTATATTAGCATTTCCAGGTCACATTCGCGTGGACACACGCGGGCGTGCATAATTATCGTACTAATTATTAGAATGCACCTAAGTACCCTGAGGAAATTATCGGTGGCTTCGAGCTAGCAATAGGGAAGGCGGGCAAACAACTCGCATGCGGAATCGACAAACCTAACGTTTGTGCGCTCGCGCTCGCATTCTCATTCGTATTCGCTCTCTAACCAACATTCCCGCGCTCGCTTGCTCATTCACTCATTCACTCACTCACTCACTCGCTCACTCAATCGCTCTCTCGCTCTCTCGGTCTCTCGCTCTCTCTCTCAGTTGGTTACTTGCTTATTCGTTCTCTCGCTTGCTCGCTCGCTCGCTTGCTCGACCAGGAACGAGAGAGTAACTTTCTTAATTACCGAGATTAACTTAATGGTATCGGGGCGACGATTATTGCCCGCGAGCCACGCCACTCTCCAACTAGCCTTTCTCGCTAACGTTCTACCATGCCAACATTGAGAAAAGTTCGGGAAATAAAATTGTGTCCTTTGCTATCTAACATTTGATTTCTTTTTCTATGTTTGTTTGTTTGTTTGTTTGTTTGTTTGTTTGTCTGTCTCTTTCTTTTTCTTTCTCTCTCTTTTTTCCCCTTCTTTTCTTTTCTTTTCTTTTCTTTTTTTTTCTTTTCTTTTCATCCTGAAGAACTTTAACCTTTAAATATTTTCGTTGGATTTTTATATAAATTTTTTGCAAAAGAAAGAAAAGAAAAGATAGTTACGTTCTTACAATATCAATCATCAAGTTAGACTATTATTTCTTATTTTAAATAATATAGAATTAAACGAAACTAATTAACACTTTGTATATCCTCGATATGTTCAATTTATTTTTAACGATATCGTAGACGTGAAATTGATTTTATTTTATTGACGAGCCAAGAAATATTTCCAAGAACGATATGTGTAGAATCGATAGAAAGGAATTTATATAATAGTAAAGTTACTCACCTAAACTGAGCTGCGACCGCTCTACGTGGGACGTCGTCCTGACGCGAGTTGGACGAGCCTCCGTTATTTATCTCTCCCACGATGCGGGTAAAGTCGATCGAAGAGGAATTCGATCCTTTTCCCTTGGAATTCACGAGATATACCAAGATCGTTCTCTTTCCTTTTCTTCTTCACGAGCCTTCAACGGCGTTCGTAAGATCAGTAGAATCCTTCTTCGCGAATCTCGCGGTCGGTGGTAGACCGACGTCGAGGAACGAACGATTCGGGAAAATCTTCAACTCTCGTGACATCAGCCTGTTCTAACGGCACGTTTAATTAACCGGTATGTAATTAGTTAGATGTAGTTAGTCAATCTCACGTGACCGACTATATACGATAAGTCACCACGGTTTAATCAGCTTATACCAGTCACTTTGATAAAGCAAGATAGACAATCAATTCTTCGAAGAAAATTTTTCTTTTCCTCTTGACTGGTGTGGGTTTTTTTTTCCTTTTTTGTCTCGATAAACTCGAAGAAAAAGATAATGAGACAGAACGATCGCAGCGAAACGTAATGCGCTTTTAATTATTCTATTTGTTCAGCAGCGTGCGTGTTCGCTCATCGCCATAACAATGACGACGACAACGACAACGACAACGACGACGACGACGACGACGGCGACGACGACGGCAACGACGACTATGACGACGAGGACGACGACGAGGACGACGACGAACGTCCTGAACGAAAGCGTATAATTTTGAAGCAGAAAAACACTGACGTGTCCCGTCGTGGCGTCACGCGCTCTTCGTAATTGCTCACTGCCAACGATAATTAGGAGTCGCTCGTTAAACTTGTGAACGCGTGAGTGAGAGAGGGAAAAAGAGATAGAGAGAGAGAGAGAAAGAGAGAGAAAGAAAGAAAGAGAGAGAGAGAGAGAGAGAAAGACAGAGTAAGAAAGAGACTGAAACGGAGACAGAAAGAGAGAGAGAGAGAGAGAGAGGGAGAGAGAAAAAGAGAGATAGAGAGAGAAAAACAAAATCTTCAAGTTTATCGTCACTTCGCGATTTCACTTTGAGTTTCGAGCGTCACACAGTTATCTTCTTAATCTATATAAACTTTGTTCACACCTGTCAGTCCAAGTTTCTTCAATTTCAAAAGTGTAGTAATCGATAATGAGGAGTCCAAAGTAGTAAAATGTCCGAGCACAAATCGATTGATGTCACAAGTCCACACAAAACTCACCAAGTTCTATTTATAATCTTTGTTAACCAATCCTTTTTCTTTTTCTATATTTGATTTTTCTTTATCTTTCTTTTTCCCTCTCTCTTTCTTTCTTTCTCTCACTCTCTCTCTCTCTCTCTCTTTCTCTTTCTCTTCCTCGCACGTTCCGTAGGTCCGTCCCACGTGCGTCTCTATAGGTCGAGAACGCGTCGGACGCGCACCACCTGGACGTCCCTGTTCTCCTGTTCGTTCTCGACGTCGCGCACTCGCTCTTTTCACCCCGTAATCGCGAATGATTTCAACCGGTAAAACCCTTTTCCCGATCAATCGCCGACAAATCGTTTTCTTCGAGGATAAAAACGATGAATGATTAACACACACAAGATAGAGATATCAGGGTGAGGAAAAAATACGAGAGTATTCTGTAATAGCACGTAGAATAGAAAATTCTTCTTTTTCTCCTTTTTCTTCTTCTTCTTCTTCTTCTTCTTTTTCTTCTTTTACTTTCCTCTTATTTTCTTTTTATAAAGTTGATCCTTTGATCCTTCGGGCAAGTACAATTTCCAATCTCTTCAATCTTTCTCTTCCTCTTCTTTTTCTTCTTCTTCTTCTTCTTCTTCTTCTTCCTCTTCTTCTTCTTCTTCTTCTTCTTCTTCTTCTTCTTCTTCGTCTTCTTCTTCTTCCTTTTCTTCAACGATTATGTTATATTCTTTCTTCTTATTCTCTCGTACCTTTCTTCCGAATTGACGATACAAAGTGGAAAATGAGCGGCGTGGTCGGACTAGCACGTTGCTCGGCGCGTGTATCTCCGTGCGAATACCCGGACCTCTACCCTCACGGCTCGCAGTCTGGCTGCGTAGTGGCCCCCCGAGTAGAGTCGAGGGAAGACAAACCCGGCGTCGACACTCTCCCGCCTCACTACTGAGGTAACGCCAACTTTTCTTGGTGGGGGTAATGGAGGCGGTCCAATGGGCGTGGTCTATGCGCGGAGGTGGGCCGCGAGTTACTCGCGAGAGCTCGTTGTTATGATTGTTATGAGTGTCCGAGCTGCCTCCCAGAGTCGTCAGCCTCGGCCAGAGGGTTTAGGGAGGATGCGGAGAAGGGTGGTACACGCGAAAGGGACCTACCTTCGTCCCTCTTCTTCCTCCCTCCGATCTATCCACCTTTTCCTCCACCCAGCCCTCTCTCGATCTCTGTAATATAACCACCACGAGCTCGAACGAGCTCGTAACCGTCATGCAAATCAGCTCAACGGGGCCAAAGAGTTCGCCGGTACACGTTACCACGCAAGAAAACGATACGCAGAGTGTGGATTCTTTCAACCAAAAGATACTTTGAAACTTTAGGATTATCAGAATGCTAAGTCGTGAGAGTAACATTGAATCTTTTCACTTAGATTGATAGTCTTTTATTGATGATTTGCTTGAGAGATTGAAATTAATTCATTTGATTTTAACTATTAGGCAGACTAATGTATTCGATCGTATCCATCTTCTTTCATTACTGAATTTAAGACGTTTGATAATTCGATAGGATTATCCTATTATTTTGCTATTTGAAACGACTATATAATTTTATGATAAATCAGTGATACGAATTTGATTGGTTGATTTTTATTTTATAAAAAAAAAAAAAAGAAAAAAAAAAACAAGAAAAAGAAACAAAAAAAAATTACACAAAAATAAACATTTTTATATTAACTATGTAAAGTTGATTGATTTTTATGTATTTTATATGATTGCGACAGGTATCGCGATCTCGAGGAATCCATATAAAATGAATTTTTATGATAGTTTTAATTTATATAACTTTATGTACATTCGAATATTAATTTTCTTTTAGGAATATCTTTGCATTTCTCATAACACATAGAGCAAGTGTTTTTATTCGTTATTTAGAAAAAAAAAAAAAAAAATAAAAAAAAAAGTTGCATAATTTTATTAGATTAAATTTACGAAGTTTTAGAAACTAGGTTTTGATTTATGATTCACGTTTCTACATTTGCCAAAGTTGTTTATGTTATTATAAACTATGTAAAAACTATTCGAAAGGAATTAACAGGAAACGTCCAACGATCTTCAACTTCACATCCCAGGGAGACTCAATATATGCAAACTTTACTACGTTCGCACTTTAACCCTTCGAACGATGAACCACCCTCGTCGATGCCAATGACACTGCACGCACCCTCGGTGTTTTAACGTCGTCCCCTAAATTCTCTAACATCGACCTCGAACGTATTTCTCATCGTGATTTTACCATCTTGACTCTAACATTTAAATTTAGATCCTAACCGGGCAATGTCCCAAAATCAAAATGTACTATATAAAACTGATATTATTGGTTAATCGTTATAATTAAAAAAGAAGAAAAAAAAGAAAAAAGAGAAAAGAAAGAAAGAAAGAAAAGGAAAAGAAAAAAAGAGAATTAATAACATTTATCTCCCGTCTATATCTCAAATCTCAAGATAATAATCACAGGACAATAATAAAATCTAAGGATATATAAAATTAAGGAGGGAAAAAAATATAACATCTCCGTTCATTCCTATTCAATCTAAAAATTTACTTAGATATATAAGACAAATAAAAAAGAAATGGAAAGTCTTGAAATTGTCGCGTGAAAGGGTAACAATCTTCGTACGTAATGGGACGTTGGTCGAAGGAGGACTTTTACAGAAAATATAGAAGGGAAATGAATGAATACTCTCATCCTTTTTCCTCACGGGGACCACGTGCTTTTCACATATAGCAGAGAGGTAGGAGGTATAGCCAGCTGGTGGTTGAAGTTGTAGGAGTCGGCAGGATGTGGGTCTCCGTTTACTCTCTCACTCTTTTCCCTCTTTCGTCTCCCTTGCACACGCTCTTTCCGTTCATCCTATACACTCACTCTCTCTCTCTCTCCCTCTCTCTCTCCCTCTTTCCCTCTTTTTCTCCCTCTTCGTCTAACTCTCTTATCCTCTCTTCCTCTTTCACTCGCCGTCTCTTTTCCCTTCACCGATGTCAGCGAGACTTTCCCTCTTTCACGGTCGATTCTCTATCCTTCTCCCTCTCTCTCTCTCTCTCTTTCTCTTTCGTACACTCTACAAACTCTTCTCACTCCAGCTCCTACGTTTCTCGTTTCCTTCGTCTCTCTTCTTTCTCCGGCGTAGCACGCCGTGAACTCACCCCCTAAAGCTCGGCAGGTGCTCCGTCTTTCTCCCCCGTCCCACCGGATCGATTAAAACTACAAAGTGTTGCCTCTCCATCCGTTGGTACGCTCATTCGTGGTCGACTACATTGCTCCGGCACTTTCTACCGGCACTGGGTTACCAACTCTTTTCCCACCACCTTCTCTATCTACCTCATCCCTACATCTCTCTCTTTCTCTCTCTCTCTCTCTCTCTCTCTCTCTTTCTCTTTCTCCACGCAAACCTCCCCGATGCCTTTTTTCATCCTTTTATCGGAGGATCTCCGTATTCATGGCTGCTCGCTTCGCTTCCTGATAATCCCCGCGTAAAGCTCCTACGTTTCCCCCGACGGGATTCGTCTCGTACGCAAGAGACGTAGCTTTACCCTATTTCTATCGTTCTTCTTCCTTCTCGTTCGGGTCATCCTTGACACTTTATTGTCCCGTTCGATCGGCCGAGTATAAAAGTAGAAACCTGTGGATTCTTTCGTTCAAAGTCACAAACGAATACTTTGAGTTTTTTTTCTTTTTCTTTTCTCTTTTTCTTTTTTCTTTTCTCTTTTCTCTTTTCTTTTTTCTTCTTTTTTTTTTTTCTTTTTTTTTTCCTTTCTCCCTCACCCGATCGAACGTCATAATCGTCGAAATACTATTTCAAATGCTTATATAAATTAATTCTATAATTTTCCTTCGCTTATTATCGAAGTTATCGAAGACCAAAGTAAAAATGTTATTGAGAAAATTTATTTCCTTTTGTCATTCAGACAAATTGTGTATTTCATCCTTTTCTTCTTTTTTTTTTTTTTTATGACAACTCCTGTCTATCGCATATCAATATATTTCAATATAAATGCCGAAAGTAACTGATACTAGAAACACTCATAATTGGTATTTATTCACAATTTAATTCCCATACTTTTTACATAGATATATTTAGTTTTCTCAATGCTATGGATTTCATTGATCAAGATAAAAACTGTTGAATCAAACGATGTCTTTTTCAAGATCCTCAGATCCTCAGTAACGTAAGTCCTTAAGTCTCGGCGATTTAAAGACAGAAAACGTCCCGCGGCCACATGGTCTTCGCGTAGTAGCGTAGACGCGAAGATTAGTGGGGTCGGGTGAAAGGGCTGAAGGGCTCAGGCGCGATTATATCCCGGTCTCCCGTCAGGATACGTCTCCCTCTCGGCGGTGGGGCCCCGTTTCGCCGCTTTTAAAAGTCGCAACGAACGCGGGACTAATAACAGAGGCTGCGGAAGAGTCGAGGCGTCTTTACGAGCGTCTCTTCTCAGAAGTATAAACCCGAAGTGGGCCCGAGGTATCGTCTTTCTACTCATTCCCTCTCTCCCTCTTTCTCTCTCTCTCTCTTTCTCTCTCTCTTTCTTTCTTTCTTCCTTTCTTTCTCTTCTTTACTCTGTTTCACGACCGTGCCATCGTACGGTCTGAGTTTTGCAAAGGGTTTAATTAATGCGAGGCGATGAAGAAGGTCCAACAAAGTTGCTCGCGTGATCGCCACTCTCTTAAGTATCTTTGGGTTCGGCTCGATGAAAGCTTAGGATGCAAGGACGGAACACGTGAATCCCGAAGAATCGTAAGTATTCGAAAATATATCTAAGATAAAACGAACTAAGGTATATTTGAATATTCCGATATCAATGAATCTTAATCAATTGAATTACATTTAACAAATGTCATAATTTTCATCGGATGGATCCGATGTGAAATAATAAATTAATGCATAAGAGAATTTTTCTCAAACAAATTGAAACAATAATATAGTGTCAAAGAGATTAACGGGGTATTCATTGATTCATTGATTCAATAATAATCAAATTCGAAATGTTCTTATTGAAATATCGACTAATGGATTAACATTATGAGATTTTTTTCTTTTTTTTTTTATGTGAATCGACTGGTCCAGAAAGAAGAGAAAAGATCAGCCGATTCTTTGCGTGACTATAGTAATGATCGAAAGGCTCCTCGAAGGAAGGCCAAAAGACGGATCTGAAAAGTATGTCCCGCGTGTTAGTTACTTTATGCCGTGCGAAAGGAAGGAAAGCAGGTGTTCGGTGAAGATAATGTTCGAAGATGAGTACGGTCGCCGCGAAGGAAATGCGACGAACGAAGTAATCTCAAGTGGAATCTCTTTGTTATTAGTTTCCCATTGATCGATAATTTCGCGCTACATTGTCGGGTAATAACAAGTTGCGGAAACTTTGCGGTAGTCGGTACCGTCGCCGCGTGATCCTGGAAATTAACTTCGCGCGCGACTCCTTTTCTTCGTTTGTCATTAAAGAATGGAAAAAAAAAGAAAAGAGAAAAGATAAATATTTCGACCGATTGAACGAGTAATTACGAATGTGCTAACGTGTTTGCAGATATTATCATTTGATACAATAACATTTTTATAATAATAATATATAGATACGCAATGTTTCCTAATAATCGAAATATGCGATTGTAATTCATTAACTTTTCATTCATTTTCATAACTTAATTCGATTGATTAAAATAGAATAATTATGATCAGAGAGAGAGAGAGAGAGAGAGAGAGAGAGAGAGAGAGAAAGAGAGAGAGAGGTTCGATAATAAATTTCTTACAAATTGAACGTCCCGTGTACCTTCAAAACTCATCTGTGAAATAACGTAGTTATCCCATTTACTCTTTTACCCTATTCTTTAAATGCGTCACACCTATGAAATAATACGTC